TATCTCTATCTCTCTCACTATAGAAGCCAGAGGGACCCAAACATCTCTCTTACCACTGTTGGGATGCTGGCATGTGATCCAGGATTGGCTTGACCTTTGAACCCACAGAGAGTGCTAATCATTGGTGAAGTCTGGCAGGGACCGTTAGGGTAGTGGCATGTGACTGCCTTTGGTAGGGAAAACCAGGGAGTTTATAGAATGGCCCGTGATATGCATGGGATTGTGTGAGGTGTTTGTGTGTGTGTTTACTCTATAGAAGAAGGACTCCTAGTGCCATATCTTCAGATATAGTGTTGATGAGCCAAGGGAAGTAGACAAGTAGGACCAGAGAGATCTTCCCTACATTACCTACTAGAGCAGGAAAAGGGCTGGTTCCAGTGATGTAAAAGGTAAATATACTTAATGACAATAATGATAGTAATACAAATAGCTTATGTATTTCAAACATTTGATATGTCAAGTACTGTGCTAAGGAACTGGCATGAATTATAGCATTTACTACACATTGCCAACATATGTGGTAGAGACCATTTATATCTCATTTTACAACATCAATTATGACCATTGACAAATCCATGGACACTTTAAGTCTCCATTTTGACCTTTAGTGGCATGGAACCTATTAATCTCTCCCTTCTTTGGAAGTTTGACTTTTTTTCTGGGATATCCTGTTCTTTTGGTTCCCATTCTTTGGCCACTGTTCTGTTTCCTTTATGGTCTACTCTTCCTTTGCTGTCATCATTTATGTAGGGGTCTCTCACGGGGTTCCATCCTAAGCCAAAACAGTGGTCACTGTGCCCTCCCCGGGCCAATTCCAGGTTCTAAGACACAACCAACCAAACCAAAAGTATAATTGTACTAGTAACCTTGGAATTTAGATCAAATACTTTGAATTATATTTCTAAATTCCCTTATTAATTTTAAGAGGCACCAAATATTTCTGGTCCCTCATTCATAACTAGCATGGATTCCAGGTGAAAACTTGGTCCTTGTGGTCCTGATTCATTTCTGTATGAATCATATTAACCTTATTTTCAAAGGTCTGTGTGAAGTTCCAAATGATTCCTTTCAAGATGGGAAATATAATTCATACCAAGAGTTTGACTAATGTAAACCCCAAACACACCTGTCTTCAAGATCAACCTTGCACTGAGAATCATTTTGGATGACTAAGTCTCTAAGTTCTTGCAAGTTTAATCATTTTAAGCTCAAAGTTTTTAAATTTCGTGATAGGAGACAAAAATGTATTTACATTTTAAGTTCTTTAACAAGGTAAAGTGAACATAATTTTACCTTCTCATAGAGACTCGGGGTCATCAATAAAAATATCAGTAAATGGCCCAATTTAAAATAGATTTAAGATCAAGGGTTATTTAACCCTGTGCTCAATGGACCCAGAGAGTTGATTTTGAGTTCTTGGGACTATTAATAGTTGCTGTTTCTGTCTCCCTTTTTGTTGGATCTGCTATTTCTTGCTGTTAACAGTTAGTCTACCTGTAGAAGCTTCTCCCATACTTAGTTATTTGCTTTGTCTGAGAACTCAGATGATTTGTCAGTACTACATATAAAGTTTATGTAAATGAGTCCAGATGGAGCCCTGAGAGAGTTCACATGTGAATAAACTAAAGTTTTTCCAATGCTTTTTTTTTTTTTTTTTTTTTAAATAGGGTACAAATAAACAAGTGGAACATCTTGAGACATCAGTCCTGGCTTCTCAGATGTTTTCTGGGTTTGTATGGCTTTTCTTACTTTCTGGTTCTTGGTTGAGTTCTACACTGTTTAGGCTAGTGAGTAGCAGGTTTCCCACCAGGGGGGACTAGGCTTCAGGTGTCTTTCATTCTCTATATCATCACGGGCACCACCACCATATTTCTTGAGTGGAAATATAACCAGTTGCTTGGATTAGCAACTAATCAAAATATCTCAGAAAGATTAACCGGTGATAGGAGGCAGAAGGTGCCCTCATAAAAATTTCTTCATTCCTTACAAAGAATTATTAAAGGCATGAGGTCTCACCCCAGCCCAAAAAACTTTGTTCCCTAGACTTGACCCTGAGTCAGCTCATTGCCAATGAAGGGACCTTGGGCTGTCAGACTCCACACTCCCGACCCTGAAGAAATGGCTCCCAAGCAGGGTTTCTTCCTCTGCCTGCTTCCCTGGCAGCACACCCTCCAGCCCCCGAATTTCTCAGAGAAAACCCCTGTCTGACATTTCAGTATCATCCTGGGAGCATTTTCAATGGGTGAGTGAAATTCCAACCATTTAATTCCTTAAACAGCAGAAATCTCAACTGTTCCCAGGAGTCTGTGCATTGGCTCAGAAAGAGCCCTGCTGCTTCTGTTATCCCCACATCCCCTGGCATGGTACTGCAGGAGCCCGGGTTCTCCCCTGGGCTGCAGGAGGCCTCTGCAGAGGCAGTTGCTCGCGCTGTAGCAAGCTCGCCTTCCCAGCCATTTCCTTCTGCGCAGTTCCAACTTACCTGACCTGTTTTCTACAAGATCTACAGAGGGTGTAGAAAAGTATTGAACGGCTCTAGGTTCTGTGTTGTGTCCCAGTTATAAAGCCCAATGTCAATGTGAAATACCACCCTTTAGCAGCTCCATACCTCAGAGGTTTGTGGTTGATTCTAATGAATGATTAGCTTATGCTTCTTGTTTTTGGTTTTTTTTTCCTACAGTAAAAGAAAAGAAAGTCTTTTTCTTCCAGTAGGTTCTAGATTCTGTATTTTAAATATCATTAGGGGCTATATATTTTCTTAGTGAAATTAAGGGTTTTCCCCATTTACCCTTTCAGGATGGAACTATTATTTTCCCTTTGATAACTGGGGAGTTTCTTCCTTTCTCCCTCTCTGGCTCAGTGTTCTGGGTCTTTAGGCACATAGTTGCTATTCAAGAAATTGTCATTGGCTGAATGAATAAAAGGATGGATATGGGCCCCAGAGAAATGGAGTCAGCCATACATAGACTGAACCTCTGAAACTGTGAGGCCCAAATAAACTTTTCCTCCTCTGAGTTGTTGTGGTTAGGTATTTTGGTCATTATGATAAAAACCTAGCTTAGGAAAAAACATCTTACAAAGAGAGAGAGGAAAAAAAGAGAGAGGAGAGAGACAAAGGATGGATGGATGGATGGATGAATAGATGGATGGAAAAACGGTTCTGCATTGTTGTCTTCTGGGACACCTTCCCAACATGACATAAAATCCTCACGATGCTGCAGGGCAGCTTTTCTTCAGGGACCTGCCAGTCAAAGGAACATCTCTTCAACCTATTTAGGGTTCAATAGAATTTGTAAATAAAGACTCTTATTTGCTTCCTTGTTTTGCAGGAGAGCTGGATGAAAAGAGCTGGCTACCTGGGTCCTGGGTGGAACTTCTCAGTGAATGGTTGGACCATCTGTTTCCAGCACAGTTCTGTTTGGTCAGCCCCCTTGGCATCCACTTGGTTCCAGAACAGCTGTGAACAGTTTAGGGTCTGAACAGGAGTTCAAATGGCTCCTGTGGGGCTCTGAAGCAATGGAAGTTGCAGCTTGTTCTTCTTTGTCGTGATGTGTAGGCAAAACCAGACCTGATTGTAAAATGAAATTATAAAAAACCTTATGGTAAGAAACCAATGCCCGGGGAATGGGTCAGTTCCCACGCCCCTCAGCCTTTCTCCAGAGAGCCTAGTTAATCCTGGGTCCCTACCTTTTGGCTTGTAAATAACTGCCCTAAGAGCCTGACTCCTTCCTCCCTCTTGAAATATAACAGATGCCTGTGAAAAGAGCCCTTTCTTATTTGTTTCTGTGAGCCTGTTAGAGAACGTGCGCAAGGCCTTCAGCCGCACAGATTAGGAAATCTCTCAAGAGAGGGAAAAAAAAAACCCAATGATAGGATGAGTCTAAGATGACAGAACCTATAAATGTAAGAAACTGTGATTATTAGGGCTCAGAATTTGTAGTTTTCTTTTCCTCTACCAAACCCACCCCCCACCCCCACTCCCCCTGCATAAAATAAAGTTTGGAGTCCTCCTCTGAGTGCTGCTTGCTGCTTCTCTACCAGTCTGTTTCCCATAACAATAAGGCCATTGGGTTTTGTGGGCTTTTTAAAAGCCTTGGCAGCTGCTGGCCAGGCTCTGGAGGGCATCCTGCCTCAGATCCTCTGGGATGCCTTTGCCCACAGAGAATACTGCAAAGACAGCTCGAGGTGCTGAAGTCAGGGACAATGTCACAGGACCAGGCCACACTTCTGCAACTGTAACTTCGTGGATCTCCCTCCCAGACCTTCCAGTCTTTTTTTTTTTAGAGAGAGAGTTTTTTTTTTTTTTTTTTTTTTTTTTTGTAGATGGATACAACACAATGCCTTTATTTTTATGTGGTGCTGAGAATCGAACCCGGGTCCTGCCTGTGCTAAGCGAGTGCTCTACCGCTGAGCCACAATCCCAGCCCCACCGTCCAGCCTTCCAGTCTTTCTCTCTTTTTCCTGGAGATGAGCCAGGCTGCTGGGGACAGTTTCCTTCTCTCAGTGGGACCACCTGATTAACATTTCTTCTTTTCTCTGCTTCAGTTCCATCTACAGCTTCCTAATCACAGCATTAGCACCTCAGATCTGATCCTGCTTCTCTTAGGGTAAGAGGGCTTTGAGCCAAGAGAAGACAGGCTGTGGTCAGGAGAAGTGGAAGGAGGCTCCCTAGCAGGAAAATAGGCCATGTCTGTAATGCACAGGAAAGATGCTCTTGCAGTAGTTGGGTTAGGATACTTACTTAGTCCTTGAGTGACTCCCCACATATCATTAGCTGCTTATTAGCTGCAAGGGAGAAAATAAAACCTAAAGCAGTAGCTAGACAATGGAGATAATGCTTGACTCCTCGACTGGATGGTTAAAAGTAACCTCATTTCTGCAGGACAGGTGATATTATGTGGCTCCATCGGATAGTATACCCCATCACCTAGGCAGCTAACCATGAGGAAACATCAAAAAGACATCCAATAAGGAATATGCTAGTCAAACAAAAGCAGTGTGTCATGCTCACCTTGGCAGCAGATATACTAAAATTGAGACGATACAGAGAAGATTGGCATACCTCTTGCATGAAGATGACCCACAATGAGAAAATTTTAAAAATATAGTGGTGGGGGTGGGTACAATGGGATCAACATCATAAAAGCTGAATTAAAGAAGGCTAAAGAGATATGACAACAAAATGCAATACCTGACCCAAGACCTGTGCTGGAGGCAGAGCAGGACTTAAAGGACATTAATAGGTCAATTAATGAAGTAACATATGTGAAACTGACATATGGAAGGTAAGTTAGATAAAGCACTTTGCCAACTATTATGATTATCCCTCTTCTTAGGAAATACTGAAATATTTCAGTGTAAAGGGACATGAGGCATGTAACATAACATTCAGAAAAAATTACATTATATAATAATACACTGTAATGTATTTGGAGGAGAGGAGGAACAGGCAAACAAAAAAGCAAGTGGCATAAAGCAATGACAAGATGTTATCCTTGTATTTTCTTTATTTTTGTGAAATTTTTATAAGTTTTAAATGATCACAAATAAAAAGTTAAAAAATATAGTTGTAGCTATTCTGCTTTTCATATATCCTTAGAGTCTGATGCTAAGGACAAAGGCCGTCCAGGGTAAGGGCCATATGAGGCCACATCCCTTTGACACCACTCAGCCGTATCAAGTATCCTGAGCCGGGAGTGTTTTGAACTTACCTGTGATTTTGAAGCAAATGTTGCATGACGTCAACCGCACCTGGGGACACTGGGCCTCCCTGGGAGAAAGGCATCAACAACAGACCAAAGAGGGCTGAAGGCTGGGCGGGTGTGAGACAGGGAAGGTGATCCGTGGCTCCATTCTGCCCAATACCAGGCCCAGGACAAGGGATGCAGAGATGGCAAACCCCAGATGCCTCCCCAGGCCAAGTTCCATTCAGAGAACAACACCCTGGTGTGAGGACTGACTTATCCACAAAATACAGTTTATCTGACTTGAAAGCTCATTTTTTGAGCAAAAAGTCAAGATGTAGAATAGCACAGAGGTTGAGTGAGGCTCTGATCTAAATCCTGCCTCTCCCACCACCAGCTGTGGTCCCTGGGGCAAGTTCCCTGCCCCTATCTCTGCCCCTGCTTCCTTTGCTGTCGAAGAACTATGCCCAAAGGTCATGCTGAGGACTGAGGGAAGTGGTGCTTGGTGAGTATGGAGCTCAGGCTTAATAAGAGCTCAGCTCCAGCTCCTGGGAGTATAGGGATGTGTCCTTTCTTGACTCTGTGGTGCAGGCGGTTGTAAAGGCCCCTGTGAGGGGACTGTGGAGCTAGGGACAGGGCTTTTGACCAAGAAGGGTGCCTCACTAGAAGAAAGCCTGGAGACCACCTACACATCTGACAGCATTTGCCCTGCAGAGCTTCCCTGGCCCATAGCCACAACTACAGTCTTTGTCCACTGTGCCATAAGGACACAGCACATATGAAAGTGAACTTTATTTGACATGTTGGACACTTTTACCAAAAAGGCAAATCTCTGATTTGAGAAATTATCAATTCTTTCTTTTAGATCAATTCTTTTTAGCCTCCAATAAATACTCTAAAAAGTAGAAAAAAAAAGCTTTGAATATTAGAAGAAACCAGTCTTTGGTTGTGGTGGGGGGGGGGCAAGACACCCCTTTTCTTCTGTAGAATCATCCTCCAGCCTGGCTCTATCACTGAGTTAGTCAGCTTTCCATCACTGTGACCTAAGGACCTCCCACAAGGCCCCACCTCCTAAAGGTTCCACCTCCCAGTGGTTCCGCCCCAGGTACCAAAGCTTTAACACAGAGGCCTTGGGGAGCACTTAACCAACCCATAGCTATCACCCGCCTTTCTGGAGCTGCACAATGGCTTCTCCACTGTAACTTCAGAGACATTTAACCTGAGCCACCTGAGGATTCTGACTTGGGCTCCACATGCTCATTGCCTGGACACTGCCTGTTGGAGCTGGTTCTGTTTCTAATATTCTCTTCCCTTTACCTTCTGCCTAAGGTCTGCTCCCAGCACCTGGGAACCAGGTTGGCCCTCCCACAGTACAGTGCACCAAGCATGCCGTCTCATCCAATTCTTTGATTTTGTAAAGAAAGTTCTCCTCACATGATGACTCCATTCATTCATGATACGAACATTTGTCAATGCCCCACTGTGGGCCAGGTGTGAGTCTAGACATCACCGTGTGGAGATGAATGAGCTACCATCCCTGCTCAATAGGATCTCAGCACCCAGCAAGACAGATGACCTCAGATCATCAGGGCAGGGTGGAAGCACAACTCAAAGGCCTGGACTGTTTCTCAATGCACCTTCAATGCAAGAATCCCTGAGCAGCTTAGTAGACTGCAGCATCCAGGCTCCACGCCAGACCTGCCAATCCCTGGGCATGAGGCATCTGCATTCTAACAATGATGTCAAATACCCCAAAGTAAAAAATTGACATATATGTGCATTTCTAAACAGTCAGTGGCACAGGCCTGCTGGGGATGTTTTCTATGGAGTTTCTAGGAGCCAACAGGACTGAAGATATTGATAAAATGACAGAGGCTTAAGCTGGGCACAGTAGCACATGCCACCAGCACTCGGGAGACTGAAGCAGAGAGATTACAAGTTTGTGGCCAGTCTGGACAATTCAGTAAGACCTTGTCTCATATATAAGGGGCTGTGGTTGTAGCTCAGTGGTAGAGCAGCCCTGGGTTCAATCCTCAGTACTGCAAACAATCAAGCAAATAATAAAAATGGCAGAGCCTATGAAAAATTCCTAAGAATTGGAAGGCCTGGGGCTTTGGGAACACAGAGAAGATGAAAAGCCTTCACTCAACTGAGGTTAACTGAGGTACAGGACAGAAGGAAGTAACAAAGGCCATTACAACTTGGAACCGAGCAGCAGATGTCTAGTGGATGACCTGGGACAAAGAGACCCAAGCTCTAGCATCAGGACAGGAGCCTGGAAGAGGAAAGAAGTCAGGAGTTCAGTGTTTCCAATCCAGCATATCTGTACGTCTTCCTGGGGACTACTGGATGCATTTGTGACATTTATAGGAGTTGAGATGATGAGCTGTCCACACCAAAGCTGTCAGTGTGTCACCATGGTAAGAAATGTTCCCAAAGTGTCCAGCACTGGTACTACTGCAGTCTTCATGAACGTGAAGGTCGACTGCAGCCTCATTCCTGAGGACTTTGTTGTGGGACCACCCCTGTGTGCATGTATCCCAGATGGTCCCTGGGATACAGTGAGTTGAGGCCAAATGCTCAGGTAAGCATCCAGATGCTCAGGTAAGCAGAGGCCAGACACAGCTGGTTCTGCTGCACTGGTTTCAACACTAGTCTCATCATAAGCACTTCGTTAATGGCTTCTGTCCCTGAGAGATCACGTGGTTACAATCAGCCTATCCTGCAGTTCTCGATAGTCAATAGGCTTGCCTCCAACACCTCCCTTAATGTGGCTTTTTTCCTGGATCTACTGTATTTGTACCCCAGCTGTACACTAACTCATTGTGCAACTCTGGGAATGTTATTTACTTTCTTTGAACCTCAGTTACCTCATCTACTAAACTTGGATAATAATTTGTATCTCACAGTGTTGCAGGTCTTTACCACTTCCGTAATTGAGGGTCATAAGTACAAAGCCCAGAATTTGCCAGTTAAAACACACACACACACACACACACACACACACACACACACACACACACACTTATACCCATTTTGTTCAGAAGCTCACATATTGATCTCGATTTGAACATTCGGTTAATGAAAAAGACTTCAGACACAGCAGGGATTCTCTATAGATATTTTTCTATGGGTGGTAGATTTTAAAGTGTCTCTGGGCCTTTTGGAATGGATGGTACACAATTAGCCTGCCTTTCGCCTGAGAAATCAGACTAATTACTGTCGAGGCGTGGCTAATGGGGTCTTTTGTGAACTCCCTCCCTAAATGAGAAATCTTTAACTTTTCACAAAAACTCAAACTCATTTGTGCTGCTGATTCCTAATATTTCTAAATAAAATGCTTGGCCTCTGGGCTTTTGTAGTCAAATAACCCAAATCAAATCAAGCTGCCCTGCCAGAGGAAAAATTAATTTTGTGTGAATCTACTGGAAAAAAACGTTTAGAATCAGTTTGGAATCACTGTCAACAAAGAGAAGCTGCAGCCTGTTCTGGGGAAGTTTTCCTGGACCTGGGCTTGGGGCAGGATGGTGTGGGGTGCTATCCAATTTGGACTGAAATGGCTTTCTGAGATACCCAAACAGTAAATACCAGCTTCTTTTGCAGTTCAGAGTCTGCAATAAACAGGCTACTTCCTGGACCCCAAGTCAAATACACACAGAGACAGAATCAGGTTCTGTGTCTCAGGCAGAAGAGACAAAAGTGAGGGAGGTCCATCTGTGTCATCTTGAAAGGAGGCAAGAGCCTGCAGAGGGAAGAGAAGTTAGAGCAGACAATCATCTGTTTTCAGTGTTTCTGGAAAGAATCAGTGGAGCTGGTGGAAATGCAATAGAGGAGAGGAGCTCAGGATCAGCTAGGAGTAATTTAGTGCCATCTAATATTACCAAGGCATCCAGCATTCCCAAGCCCTCTTCAACCCTATATTTTAAGAGTTTTCTTCTCCATAGTAGCTTAGGATATTGAGTCCCCAATCTGTCCTGATTGTAGAATCTAAAAAAAAAAAAAAAAAAAAAATTCTTGTTTTTGGCTTAATAAAGGTACAATTCTTTTTTTGTTTGTTTGTTTCTTTAAAGATATTTGGCAGAGGGCTGGGTGGTGGCTCAGCGATAGAGCGCTCACCTCGCACGTGCGGGACCCTGGGTTCAATCCTCAGCACAACATAAAAATAAATAAGTGAAATAAAGGTATTATGTCCAACTATAACTAAAAACTAAATATTAAAAAAAGATATTTTGTAGAAACCTTCAAGAAATAAAACAAAGAGGGACAAGAATAATTTCAAGACATAAGGACAATAAGATTGTAATGGCAATATTTGGTAAACAGTAGGAGCCAGTAAATCCTAATTCCTCTTCCTTTCCTCTACCTGGCCTAAAACATCCTGACAAAAGACCTCTTTTAAATTCCTTTAGCACCTCCACTGTTC